GAGGATGGACCTCCCCTTGGGGTTTATACTGAGGAGGAAACCCCCTTGGGGTTTATACTGAGGATGGACCCCTGTCTGGGTTTATACTGAGGATGAACCCCCCCTTGGGGTTTATACTGAGGATGGACCCCGCTTGGGGTTTATACTGAGGATGGACCCCCCTTGGGGTTTATACTGAGGATGGACCCCCCCTTGGGGTTTCTACTGAGGATGGACACCCCCTTGGGGTTTATACTGAGAATGGACCCCTCTTGGGGTTTATACTGAGGATGGACCCCCCTTGGGGTTTATACTGAGGTTGGACCCCTGTCTGGGTTTATACTGAGGATGGCATCCAATCATGTTACTTGGCATGAAAGAAGCAGGAAAATATAATCTATATTGAGGAGAAAACTCAATCGAAACCAATTAAACCTGATGCAGAGGTTAGAGTTATCAGACAGGTAATAAAATAGTACGTATTCCATAGGTTGAAAATTTAAGTAAGGACATGGATGTATAAAAAGAACCTAAATCACATTTCCAGAAAAAACACTACAATGTCTGACTTTCTAAATGCATTGGCTGAGATTAACAGCAGATTAGGCATTTCAGAAGAAAAACCTGATGAATCTGAAGGCACGGCAATAGAAACAACCCAGAAGGGGGCACAGAGGAAAAAGAGTCCAAAAGTATGAGAAGAGCACCAGTGAGCCATAGGCAACTTACAGCAACCTCACGTGCCTGTGACAGGGCTCCACACAGAGCGGAGGGCAACAAAATGATTTGAAGAAATGGTGGCCAAAATCTCAGAAGACACGAACAGACATTTCTGCAAAGAAGACATCCAAACGGCCAACAGACACACAAAAAAGTGCTCAACATCGCTTGGCATCAGGGAAATCCAAATCAAAACCTCAATGAGATACCACCTCACACCGGTCAGAATGGCTAAAATTAACAAGTCAGGAAACGACAGATGTTGGCGGGGATGCGGAGAAAGGGGAACCCTCCTACACTGTTGGTGGGAATGCAAGCTGGTGCAGCCACTCTGGAAAACAGTATGGAGGTTCCTCAAAAAGTTGAAAATAGAGCTACCATGCGATCCAGCAATTGCACTACTGGGTATTTACCCCAAAGATACAGATGTAGTGATCCGAGAGGTTACGTGCACCCCGATGTTTATAGCAGCAATGTCCACAATAGCCAAACTGTGGAAAGAGCCAAGATGTCCATCGACAGATGAATGGATAAAGAAGATGTGGTATATATAGACAATGGAATATTAGGCAGCCATCAAAAAAAAAAAAGACGAAATCTTGCCATTTGCAACGACGTGGATGGAACTGGAGGGTATTATGCTAAGGGAAATAAATCAGAGAAAGAAAATTATCATATGATCTCACTGATATGTGGAATTTAAGAAAAAAAAAGATGAACAAAGGGAAAGGGAAGAAAAAATAAAATAAGATGAAATCAGAGAGGGAGACAAACCATAAGAGACTCTTAACTCTAGGAAACAGACTGAGGATTGCTGGAGGGGAGGGGGGTGGGGGGAGGGGGTAACTGGGGGATGGGCATGAGGGACGGCACATGATGCAATGAGCACTGGGTGTTCTATGCAACAGATGAATCCCTGAACTCTACCTCTGAAACCAATAATACACTATACGTTAGCTAACTTGAATTTTAATAAAACCCCCCAAAAAAGGAAAAAAAAGAAATAGTGGCCAAAATCTCTCCAAATTTGATGAAAACTGTAAACCCACAGATTGAAGAAACTCAGTAACTTCCAAGCACAGAAACATGGGGAACACTACACTATGGCACATGGCATTCAAATTTCTCCAAACTAATAATAAGGAGAAAACCGCGCTGTGTGCTGACAGCCCAGGGAGGAGGGCGTGGGTCTCTTGTGAGAAGCAGGTCATGTGGGCACCAAACACTCACCTGGAGTTCTCCCAGAACAGAGTCCCACAGAAGCAATGGCCACATAGCCCTTTCCAGGCAAACAGAAGCTAAAGGGCTTCATCACCAGCAGTCACACTGTGAGGAAGGTTAAGGGACGGCTGTCATTCGGGCAGAAGGAACCGAGCACAGAATGGAATCCACAGGAGAAGAACTTTGATGGAAATCGTAATCACATGGCTAAATAGGGAAGAATTTGTAACTTACTACTGAAATCTCTTCAAAGGATCATCAACTTCAAAACTAGTCGTGTACCGTGGGTTTATAAAGTGCTCGTGAGCAGGTGTCGGACGCAGCGTGGCGGAGGCCAGCTGGGGAGGGTGGAGGTGAGCGGCCCCACGGTGCTTGTCCGAGGCGTGAGGGGGCTGTGGTAAGTTACAGGCGGGGTACTCAGCCCCACAGCAACTATTAACATCACAAGACAGTTGTAACTAATAAGCAAACGAAAGAGAAAGTGGAATCTTTTAGAAGTATTTGCCAGGAAACCCGCCGCAAGTGACCCGAGTCCCAGCCTGGAACGCTCCTGTCTGGGGAGACCAGGTGCAAGGTTGTCCCTTGGCCTTGGACTCTCCCACCTCATCAGGGGAACACTTCCGCTATTCCAGGTATGCATGACCTTCCCTGAACTGCTGAGCGTCACACAGCCCTAACCAACGCCGCAGGAGTGGCTGCCCCGCAGGGAGAGAACGGGCCTCTGCTGCGGCACGAGCCCCACCTCGGCTTCAGGACGCGCCGCCACGGGAGAGCAGAGCATGGTACCAATGCAGGTTTTCCTGCGTGTCTTCTCTTTCCAGGGAGGGAAGCGTCAACCCTGCGTCCCTGTGTTGCGTCCTCCTCTGGCAGAGACCAGAGACCAGAGAAGAGGGCCGAGGCCTGAGGGCTCCTCCTTGTGGTGGCAGGCGTTGCCCCCACATGGTGGGCATCTCATCTCACTGCTCAGGAATATTCGACCCAAAATAGGCAGACAAGAGAGAAAAGGAAGCAAAAACAGGACGACAGACTTGACCCTGATCACATCAGTAATCACATCTAATGTAAATGGTCTAACGACTCCAAATAAATGGCAGGGGCTCAGGTGGGAGGAAGAAGCAAGTCCCAGCTCTAGGTTGCTCATGGGAAATGCACTTTACATATGAAGGCACAGGTAGGTTAGTCGGAGGAAGGGTTCACCATGCGAACACCAGTTGGAGGAAAGCTTGCTCTGTTAATATCACAAAAAGCAAGTTTTGGAGCAAAGACCACTGCCGGGGAAAAGAAGGCAATTTCTTTCTTTTTTTTTTTTTAAAGATTTTTATTTATTTTTTGACAGAGAGAGAGAGACAGCGAGAGAGGGAACACAAGCAGGGGGATGGGGGAGGGAGAGGCAGGCTTCCCACCGAGCAGGGAGCCCGACGCGGGGCTCGATCCCCGGACCCCGGGATCACGACCCGAGCCGAAGGCAGACGCTAAACGGCTGAGCCACCCAGGCGCCCCAAGAAGGCAATTTCATCATGACAACGCACCTGTTCACCAGGAAGACACAGCCAACCCAAGCATTCGTGTACTAACAACCAAGCTGTACAATGTAGGAGGCTGAAGCCGATAGAACTGCAAGAGAAATAGACAAACCCATGATTGTGGGCAGAGAATCAATATTAAGGCCTCAATATTCACATTGAGAGACTGGAGAATAAAGGGCAAATTAAACCCTTCAGATCCAAGTGGAAATCAGTGCCACAAAACAACAAAAACAACAACAACAACAAAAAGACAGAGAAAATTGACAAAATCAAATGCTGGTTCTTTAAGAAGATGAAGAAGTTGACGAACCTAGAGCCAGACCAGTCAGGACAAAAGGGGACCCAAAGTGCCAGCGTCCAGCGGAGAGGCGATCTCCGCTGGAAGATCATTTGACAGGAAATAAGGGAATATTATTAAAAATTCGTTCCAATAAATTTAACAACTTAGATGAAATGGACAAGTTCCTCGAAGGACACAAACTGCCAAAGATTACTCGAGAGGAAGTAGATCATCTAAATAGCACTATATCTGAGAGAAACTACAAAGAAAACCCCAGGCTCAGACGGCCTCACTGGAAAATTCTACCAAACAGCTACAGAAGAAAGAGAACCAGTTGCACACAACTCTCCCAGGGAACTGAAGGGGACACATGCTCCCCAAATTCATCCTGCTCTCCAGAAGACGGTTGAAAGAATAAAACAGCAAATCACAGATTGGGAGAAAATACTTGCAAAGCACACATCTGATAAATACTCAGAACTCTTAAAACTTAATAAGAAAACAAACAACCCAAAACAGAAACGAGAGAAATATTAAGGGAGCAATTCCCCCAGGAAGAGACAGGAGTGGCCAACAAGCACATGAAAACATGCTCAGCACGATTATTCTTAGGAAACGAGACACCACCACGTATGCTGTTGTGGAAAGACTGACCGTGAAGAGCATCAGGGGCGAAGAGGAGCTGCCGATGGGACATAGAACATGACAACCACTTTGGAAGCCAGTTTGGCAGCTCCTCCTCTCATCCGTCGGGTGAGCTAAACGGTCCAGTCCGAGGAGTCTGCCCGCGAGAAAAGAAAGCGTGTGTCCGTACAAAGATTTGGTTAGGAGTGTTCACAGGTCGTCCACCAATGGAAACAGCCTAGGCATCAGCAGGTGTCGGCAGGTATTAGCAGGTGGGAGGGCAGGTGTCAGCAGGTGGGAGGCCAGGTGTCAGCAGGTGTCAGCCGGTGGGAGGGCAGGCGTCAGCAGGTGGGAGGGCAGAGTGGCAGCCGCTCCGCACGCAGAGTCCACCCAGCTGGAGAAGGGGTCAGCTGTGCCGCAGGACGGCTCGGATGCGTCCGAGTGGTCACCCTGGGTGAAAGATGCCAGGCAAAAGAAACCATCTTCTGTGTGATGCCACACCCATGCAACTCTAGGAAATGCATACGGACCTGTGGCCCCGGGTCTGTGGTGGGTGGGAGGGCAGGAGGGCACGAGAAAATCTTTGGAGCGACTGGCGGCCAGGTCCACCATCTTTACTGGGGGGCTGGTGCTGCGCATCGCTCCGCGTCACAGCGGGACCTGTCACACCCTGGGGCCCTGAAACCCGCGCATTTACAGCTCAGCTGAACTCCCTTCCCAGAGAGCAAATGTGTGCAGCTTAAAGCCTGCTGTCTGCAGCTCTGTGCACCACGTTTTCCCTGGAGAGCATGTTAAGAGCACTTCCCCAAGCCATCAGAAATTCTGGGTTCAGTGCCGGAATAACGTTCCAACATACGGGAGCTCTGCAAGTTACTTACTCTGTGCTCTTTGTCGGGCATTTGGGTCGTCTGCTTATTTCCACTCACTTAAATGACACTGTGATAAACATTCCATACGTGTTCGGGTTACATGTGAAAGTTCGGTTGCCGGAGGGGGGGTTATTGGAGCACACGTCTGAAACTGGGTATTCTGTGTTCCGTGTAGGCTCGGGGTTTGGAGCCGCCACCAAAGCCATGTGCATCGGCATGCGGTACTGGAAGCCCGAGCGCCTGGAGACACTCGTGGAAGTGAGCGTCGAGTGTGGCAGGATGACCCACAACCACCCCACAGGTGACGCTTCCTGTGTGGCGCCCGCGGAAGCCCTACCCACCGTGTGGTTCGTTTGCCTGTCGGCGGACTTGGCCTTCTCCGTCTCCAGGTCTGCTTACGCTCTGTTTTCGACCTAAAAGCAGGCCTGGCATGGAGCGTGGCGATGCTGGAGGGGAGAATCCCCAGCAGGTGCAGGGCCGTTTGCGCCAGGAAGAAAGAGCAGCCCCAGTTGTCTGAGGGAAGCTGGGCTTTGGGTTGACGTCCTGGGCATGCACATTTATGTCACAAGCGTTGGGCATCATCTGCTGCCAAGTGCTGCCCCTGGGTGGGGCCTGAGCCAGACCAACACTCACGGGCCTCGTGAGCTGCACCCCTTCACCACCCGTGCCTCTGTTTGCCCACCTGGATGGAGGCGCTGGGAGCTGGGTCTCCCTGAGCACGAGGAGAGAGTGGGTAGAACAACGGGCCTCTTGGCTGGTGCTTCGGCAGCTGCGCCCCGGGGTTCCCCACCGCATGTCCAGCACACGGAGGGAAGGCAGGCGGGGCCCCAGCTGACCGTGAGTCATGACCTAGAAGGGCAGGCAGCGCCTAAGTTTAAAAAGGAAGGACTTGGAACTCCCACACCTGTAACCACCTTGAATCCTGGCAAGGCGCGCCCTCCCCAGCCCCTGCAGGTCCACAGACTGCTCGCTGCTGCCCAGCCACTGTTCCTTCTTTCAAGGCCACTTTCTTTTTTTTAAGATTTTATTTATTTTTTCAACAGAGAGAGACACAGCGAGAGAGGGAACACAAGCAGGGGGAGTGGGAGAGGGAGAAGCAGGCTTCCCACTGAGCAGGGAGCCTGACGTGGGGCTCGATCCCAGGACCCTGGGATCATGACCTGAGCCGAAGGCAGACGCTTAACGACTGAGCCACCCAGGCGCCCCTCATATAATTTGTTTCTAATGAAAGATTTGATGAAACACTGAGGGTTTGATGGCATGCGGGCAACACCACGGAAGGCATGTCGGCTCCTGTCCAGTGTTCCAGATACGGCTGGCTGCAAGCGTTGTGGTCGTGTTACCGTGTGCGCGTCCTAGATGCTGGATACCCAGAGGGGGCGGGGTGATGGCAGGTGGTCAGCACGGTAGTGGGTCTGAGAACTGGACCCTCACTCCCAGCCCATGGCGATGCCTCCCAGAGTGGCCAGCGAGCCACTGAGAGCGTCTCTGGAGATGGCCATGCCCTTTCCTGCGTGGCTGTGGTCTCCGTGCGTCTTGGGCTGGCCTGGCGGCGCTCCTCTGTGCTGAGAACCATCTGTCCCCACGATGGCCCTTGCTAGGGGTCATGGCATCCCTTTGTGCAGGAAACAGAAGGCCAGCGTGCACAGGGCAACGGCCCAGGACGCGAGCCCAGATGCCATCGTTGTGTTGTTCTGCCCCCCGCCCTGCAGGCTTCCTCGGATCCCTGTGCACGGCCCTGTTTGCATCATATGCTGCACAAGGGAAGCCTCTGGAGCAGTGGGGCAGGGACATGATGCGGACGATCCCGCTGGCTGAGGAATACTGTAAGAAGACCATCCGGCACCTGGCAGGTGAGCCCGGCCCCCCTTCCTGTCGCACTTGAACGGGTTGCTCTGATTCAGCCTCGGGGCACATTTGGACACACAGGGCTCCCAGACAGTTCGCCCCACACTGAAACCGAGGGCTGACCCCACCAAGGGGGCCGAGGCACCCCTGGCGGAGGACGACACCTGCCCAGGGGACCCCAGTAGCCAGGAGACCCGGCACAGTGTGAGCTGCTGCAATCCGACCCCGGGCCTCCTGCTGTCTGACGGCAGCCGGAGAGACGAGAGGGGTGCGTGCTTAGGTTCGGTTTTCCAAATGGTCCTTAAGTAGCCCATTCCCTGGAGACGGGCGAGGGACACCCACACTGACGTCTGCACTGCTCCTGCACCTTATGGACGGCCTGACCCGAAGTCTGCTGCCACGAAGGCCAGACGGGCATCTGTGCCCACTGGTGACATTTACACCCAGGAATGTCTGTCTGTCCCCAGTTACCTCAAACCCGCCGTCAAACGACACACACCCTCCTTGGCCCCCAGTGGGGTATCCATCAGCTTGTCCAGCAGAGGTCCTAGGGGATTGAGGTGCGGCTGCGGTTGGGCGAGTGGTGGCCTGACGGACCAGACGCGAGAAGCAGGTGCAAGACTAGGAAGCCCACGGCTTCTCCTCGGGCGGCCAGCCCTCCACAGGGCTCTCTCCCTCTGGGAGGGATGGGAGCTGCGTGAGGATGTTCTCAAGTTGTCCAGGAGGGTTTCTGGCGTAAGTTGCTGCGTTTGTCCCGGGGCAGAGGGGGCTGCGGGTGTGAGTGCAAGAGCAAGGTTGTTGGTTTTATGGGCAGCCCAAGGCCGAGGTCTTGAGACAGGAAACCCATGAGTCATTGTCACCCTCCGCAAGCGGGGACTCATTCTAAATGCCTCTGGAGAAGCTTCCAGAACAACTTGAAAAGGAGAACTTTGCCTCTCCTTCTGCAGTGTGGGGAAACTCTCATCCACTGGGTCCCGTTCTGATGGGAAGCGGAGAACCTCGTGCCCACCGTGAACTGAAGTGTCCCCCTATAGACTTAATTATAGAACAGAGCTCCACACTGGCCTTATTTTCTCCTGGCTTAAGTCGCTCTTACCCCGGGCTCTCTGCAGCGGGTGAGGCTGCCTGTGGCCACCTCCTCCCACCTGGGAGAGACAGGTCAACAGGGCCGAGTGTGGGCCACGCAGTGCATTCACGCTGTGTCGGGGACGGTCTCCAGAGCTCTGGCCTCCCCCAGGGTTTCCCACAGAACAGCCACGGAGATGCTCCTGGACAGGAACAGGGAGGACAGGCATTGGTCAGAAAATCTGAGACTGTTCTTTCTGTTTAATTTTAAATGTGTTCAACCTGGAGTTTTATGACCTCCTATGAAACACACCCTTTTTAACAGAAACCCCAAATCGTCCAGAGACGGTCGTGTTCGATTCTTCCAGGGCCTTCTGCTAGGTGGTGCCCATTGGCAGCAAAGACAATGGCATAACAGTTCCCTGTCTTACTGCTTGGACATCTGTTCCCAGACCTGGCCGCCCACCGGCCGGGAGAGAGGCGGCCGCACACGGGCCGAGCGCTGGTCTCTGCAGGGCGGCTGGGGCTTCCCGTCGGGCCCGGTCGTCTTGGCTCAACCTTAGGTCGGCTCTGCTTTTCGTTCTGTAAAGCAGACTCGGCCAGCTTCCCAGGGGCCTCTGGCCCCCTCGGACTTGGAGCCACATCCCCACACCTGTCCCGGGGCCTGCCTGCAGCCCCCGAGCCGTCCCCTCTCCCGCGGGCAGCGCTGTGCCCCGTGAGCCAGGAGTTTCCGTCGGGCTGGCGAGGAGGCCGCCACGAACGTCCTCTTCACCCTGTGGTTTTGGAAGGTGCTTTCAACCCCTCTGGGCTTGCGCGCCGGGCGGTCAGCCGGGAGTAAGGAAATGCCTCCTCCCAGGCTGCGTTGCATCAGGGAAGAGATACAGGCTCAGAATTTTCAAGGGGATGCTCTTGGAAGCACTGCAGTCCCGGCCTTGGGTTCGGAATAGAGTCAACAAGGTTTGGGGTCGCTTTGGGCCCCGTCTCCACCTTCCTCACTCTGGTTCCAAAGTAGCTGCAGACACAAGCATGACCGAGCCGCAGAGCGGTCACCGGGTGAGGCTCAGCCCCCACCTCCCACCCCGCGCGTGCAGCCCACCCCGTTCTTTATGTTTAGAATACCAGGAGCACTGGTTTTACTTTGAAGCCAAATGGCAGTTTTACTTGGAGGAGAGAAAGATCAGCGACGACACGGGAAGCAAAGCTGTCTTCCCCGACTGCTACGACTCCGAGGCGAGGGACAAGGTGAGTCTTGCCGGGTCCGAGGGCTGGGGACAGGACTTGTCGGGGTCCCACGGCCTGGGCTCCCCGCCGTGTTCCTGCCGCGTCTAGCGCCCGGCCTGGGGCTCCTCCAGCAGCAACCAGGGGCCCAGAGCAGCCGCGGGGGCGGGTGTGGAAACCTTCCTGGAGGAAGCATGTGTGAAGCAGACAAAACTTTATCTTTCCATTTTCTCTCATTTAAAGCATGGTACGTGCTAGAAAGTTTGGGGAAAATACGATTGTTAAAGATGTTCCATTCCACTTCATTTTTTCTAGGGGCTAGGACTTAAAGTCGTACATGATGAATAAGGTTGTGCAGGCCCTTGTCCTCATGCTGAGAAGACCCCTAACTGGCTGACACGGTCAGCATCGGGTTTGGTAGCACAAGGGAAAACCCTGAGTCACTGTGGCTTAGCCAAGATAGACACTTATTACCCGTATGTCCACGGATGCCAAAGCTGAGTTGCAAGTCCCTTGCGGTGAGGAGCTGAGGACATTCTGTGTGGCCCTCTGTCTTCTGAGGGCACACTGTCCTCCAAGCTGGCCACTCCGGCTCCAGCCAGAGCATCTGCATTCCAGGTGTCCGGACGGTGCAAGGGGAGAGGGAGAGGGAGAGGGAGAGGGAGGGCCCACCCTTCCTCCTCGGGTGCTCCCTACCGCCCCTCTAAGTGCCCCCCAGGGACCTCCCCTGGATGCGGGAAGGCCCTGGTGTGCGGTCCTGCAGATGGTGCTGCCCCAAACCAAGCTGACTCTGTCTCCAGGGCACCGGGGTGCGACCGGCCAGTCTGCACCCCGGCCCCTGCCCGCTCCCGGCTCTCTCCAGCCTTTCCGCTCATGGCGCACCCCCAGGCTTCATTCGGCACCACCACCCGGCCCACCCTTGCCCGCTAGCCCCATGCTCCGCTCAGACACGGGTCGCGTGGCTCCATCACCACAGACTTGGCGGCTACCCCAACACGTGGTCAGGTTTGTTTGTCTTTGGAATGCCTGCATCCATAGGAGCATGAGAAGGGGATCTTTCCCGGGCACGGTCACCCCAGCCCTGGGGCAGTGCATCACAGTGAGTAGGTGCCCAGTGGCACCCTGAACGAACCCAGGAAGCTCACGCTCCAGCCAACATTGGCTTCACGTCTCGCATGACCCTGACCCCTGGCTCTTCCTGCAGGCTTACCGAAAATGGAGCTCGGAAGGCCGAGGGGGCCGGCGGGGCCACGATGCCCCCATGATCGCCTACGACGCTCTCCTAGGAGCAGGCGACAGCTGGGCAGAGCTCTGCCACCGGGCCATGTGTCACGGAGGTGAGACCACCTTCTTTAATGGTCTTGGGTTCCAGGCGACCAGCACCCCCTTCTCACCCCAAAGCACCCTCCCGGGACATCCAAGGGCCCGGCCTCCTGACCCCCCGGAATGTTTGTCCTTCTCTGGGCGTGGTGCTGCCTCGAGTGGCCGTTGGAGTCGGGGTCATGAGAAAAGGGCACCTGGGGGAGCCGGGGTGTGCGTCCCTCTCCTTCAAGGCACCGGGCTAAGAGTGGGGATCCTGCTGGTACAGATTCTGTAGCCGGAGAGGGCTCTGTAGCCCTTTGCATCAGGCGGCCGCGGGTTCGAGCCCTCCAGGGGCGACTGGGACGAGGGATTCCCCGCCTCCCGGTGCCCGCTCTCCCCTGTGGGTGTGAAATGAGGGGAGTCCTGGCAAACACCACCTCGAGCTGAGCATGGAGTCTCCATGGGCATCCGGGCCCCTCGGTCCCTGGTGCTGAGGTGGTAGAGACACCAGCGCCCGCAGACGTGAGCTCCCTGAGTGCCTGGCCCCCAGGACGGCCCGGGCATCCGCACACACGTGTGTCAGGGTGTGCAAGGAGGGAGGGTGGGAGAGGGACAGCAAGTCCCCTGGGTTGGGCCCCGGGGAGGGGGCTGCCCTGAGGGTCTCTGAGACGGGCCACGCCCGACCGCCTCGACCCTGGGGCCCCTGAGGACGTGCGTTTCATTCCAGGCGAGAGCGGGGCCACGGGGACCATCGCGGGCTGCCTGTTCGGGCTGCTGCACGGCCTGGATGCGGTTCCCACGGGCCTGTACCAGGACCTGGAGCACAAGGAGGAGCTGGCGCGCCTGGGCGAGGCTCTGTACCACCTGTCCACAGAGGAGAAGTAAAGCCCTCCCGCCACCGCCCCTCCGTGGGGAGCCGCGTCCAGCTCTGGCGGCCCACGGCCCTCCTGGGTGTGCGCCTCACTGGCCATAATCACATTTTAACTCTCTCCTCCCCCGATGTCAGAACCCTACCTGCCGTAGGAAATGCACTGTCTGTCCTGCGAGGATGTTTGTCCTGCCCTCACGTGGCCCAGAGGCATCACTGGCCCCACGCCGGGTCTGTGGCCCCGAGCCTCCAAACACGGGAGCACAAACAGCCTCGGGGACGATCGTGTATTTCACTCCGCGCACGACTAACGCTACTCGCTCACTCACGCCGACAAAACTAACCACGACCGCCGTATGTGGACCGAGCGCGCGTCCCCGCCGCTCCTGGCCTCAGACGCCAGCAGCCCACAGCGCGCTACCTCCAGCCGGCGTTTTTAATCACACTAGATCTTAAAACCAGCCCCTTTGGAAAGAGTGCCTGACAAAACCGGAAAATAAAGGGTCCTCGTGCGTCCCCGCTTCTCCTTCGGCGTGGTCTGCAGCCGTCTCGCGGGCCTGCCAGGCCCACCCTCGGCCTCCACCACCTGCTCCACCAGCCTCGTGGCTGGGGACCCGCAGCTGCTCGCCGTGGCTGGGGCGCCCCTGTCTGCGAGTCTTGAGGAAGAGAACCCTCGCTCTTGCTAGAAATAACCTCGGACACGGTCTTTCTGAAGTAGCATCTGGTGTGAATAAAAGAGCAGTTGGTGTTTCACGTTTAACACGGAGCTTTGGCGGCTTGGCAGGGGCCACTCTCTTCGTGGAAGGCGGCCTCTGAGCGTGGCCGGTGGCCCCCAGAGCCCGCGGGGTCGCCCCCTCGCTTCTCAGGACGGGGGGCGGTAGATCCGGGGGCGGCTGGCAAGGAGGGTCCCGGAGTAACTGAACTAACCTTTGCTGCTGCTGGTGCTTTTCTGTGGGAAGAGGCAGAAAGCCGCGTGGGGGGCTCTGGGCTGGGCGGCCCAGGCTTGGGGGGCGGGGACGGCGCTCAGCACAGCCTTCAGGAGCAGAGGACCGTGAAGGTAAGCTGCCATGCTCACTGTGGCCGAGCCATGTCCCGCCGACCCTGGCGGCTGGAGGCAGGCCCCAGGGGAGGGGCCCGGTCGGGTGCAAGGACACTCTGTCTCCATCGTACCGCAGTTTAGGAGAATCCGATCCATTCTTGAGTCAGGAAGTGGGTCTATTCACAGGTTGATGATAAAACATTTCAGCAAAAGTTCACAGGACTCCTGAAAGGAGTAGACTGCCTCCCCATCTCCCTGCAGAGAAATGCACGTGCTGAAGAAAACAAGACCATAAACGTGATGAGGTGAACAGCGCACCTGCTCAAATTTTAAAACATTTAATACTTGTGATTTCATCCTTATTACAGAGGTAATGCACACACACGGCTTCTGAAATTCAAGTGCGGCGCGTACATGGTGGTTTGTGGAGAGCAGGAGGCTCCCAAACCCTCAGCCAGAGTCGCGCTCCCAGGCCCCTCGGGCGGCCCCAGAAGCGGCCTCTCGTGTACGATGCGGAAACATTTGTGCACACCTGCAGGCCTTCCTTTTGGCATTTTTTGGACCCTGTCTTTTTAGCCGCTGCACTTTCTTGGGCACCGTGATTCATGTAACTGAGTTGTTCCTGCTTCTGCCGCCCCGTGTCTGCTTTAGAATGTCGCTTCCGATCCCTCCTGCAGGATCGTTCATCTCCACGGTGGCCCGGCTTCTTCACATTGTGCGAGCAGGGGTCAGGCAGGTCCTCCCCGTGCAGATGGTGTGTCCCCCCCGCACCGGCTCGGCGTGGGCACATGGGCTCAGAGGCTGGGGCTCCGGACCGTGCTGGGCAGCGCCGGGCAGCCCTGTGGCCTCAGGGACACGCCCCCCGCTCCTGCCGTGGCTCCAATGTTGGAGCAGGTCCCCGCTCTGCTCACATGCGTCTAGACTTCAGGCTGATTTGATTAATCCGTGTCCCCGGACTCTCTGGTTAAGAGGTTTTGCATTTAGATGTTGAACCCTTGTTCCCAGTGTTTTCGTATCTGGAAGCCAGAGCGGCGGTGGGTTTGGCAGACATGCTGCCCCTCTGGGAGCTGGGTGCCCCCACCTGGTAAGTCCCCTGACATGATCGGAAGGGTCCACTCACAACGGCCTCGGCCCGGTTTTCTGGGACCGACCCCTCCGTTAGGGGGTCCCCAGGTTGGGGGCAGGGCGGCAGGAGGGGCTTTCACGGCCTAATGGACACAGGACGGTCAGAGCTGTTCGTGAATGCAGAATGTACACCCCGCTTCTGAGCTGCCCGGCAGCCTCCCCGATGCCCCCAGGCCCGCAGGCACCCGGCGCAGACAGCACCCGAGGCTCGGCCAGGTGTCCGCGGGGGGGGGATCTGGAAACACCCCCCGTTTCCGAGGAGGCCACTGGGGACACAGGACCTTCTCGGGGCCACAGCCCATGGGGACACAGACGCCAGGGAGACCCCCCGCCCACCTGTCGGCTCTCGGCCCTGTGTCCATCCTGCCCCATTGTAATAGCTTGTTTTCAAGTACGTTAAAACACACAAAAAGCCACAAAGTGGCCCAAAAAGCCCCATTCAGCAGCTGCCCCGGCTGCTCGCGTGGGCTGATTGCTGCCGTGATAACCCCAGGCCACATTCGCCTGGTGTCTCTCTCGGCGATGCGGACTGACGTGCCCAGCAGAGGCCGTGCCCCGGGAATGAGGGAGGGGCACCCGAGAACCCTCGGTCTGCCTGCTTCTATGCCGGGGCCTCCATCCACCGGGACTGGACCGACGCCCCTCTCTTCCTGCAGCCGGCCAACTGGGGGGCTCAGGGGCAGGGCTGGGGGCGCCCCAGCCCAGATGGCCGCCCACCACTTCTAGCCAGATTGATTTCTAGGAAAACACGGGCTCGGGTTCCCTGACCCTGACTCATGCACAGGTTCAGCTTCACTGCCCCTCATGGCTCTGGGCAGCAGGACCGGCCTGGTCGGGGAGGTGGTCCCCCGAGCGCCCGCGGGGAGGGGCTGCAAGGGCGCCAGAGGGCACAGGCCGTGTGGGGCGAGTGGGCAAGTGTGCTGGGCCAGAGGGCAGCAGGGGGCAGGCCCGGCCCCAGGCTCACCCTCCGAAAGGCAGGGAAGGGTGCGTGCAGGTTGGCAAGGAGCAAGGTCCGCCGTGGGGGCGCAGCTCTCTGTGTGGAAGACAACGTGGGAGCAGTACTGTGGGGGTGATCCTGGCTGGCTTCTCTCCCCTTTCTTTCCGAGGATGCACTTGTTGGGGGGTGGTCCCTGCTGCCCTGGGATTCGGCGGTCTGCCCAACAGGGCCTAGGAGACCCCATATCTCAGAAGAGGACACGGAGGCCAGGGACGTCCCTTCGCCGCCCGAGGACACGCTGACAAGGGCGGACCTGTGCCTGCTGATAAAGCAGACGGTGAAGGCCAGGCGCTGCCCACCAGGAAGGCCCCACTGAGACCCCCGAGGGACCTGGTGCTGCTGGCCTTTTGGGGCCAGACTGGGGTGGAGGGTCTCAATCAGGGGGTTGTCCTGCACCCTGACCCTCCAGGCCCTGTATTTCCAGGTGACCTCTTGGTAGCCAGAGGTGCCAACGGAACCACCAGGAAAGCTTATCGTGGCCGTGCCACTCATGCTGGCCCCAGAGAAAGGTGTTCCGGTCCCAGCACGGGCTTGGGGAGGCCCGCCTGCACCAGCCGGCAGGGGCAGCTGCCCACCACGAAGCCGTGGACCCCAGACCGCCTCTGGGGAGCGCTGACCAGATGGAAGCAAGCTGGCTTTGAGGCACACACGGCTGGTGCTCCCCACAACTGTCCTCGTCTGTGGTGCGCAGGGCCTGTCGGTCCAACATGCTGTTCGGGCTGGGCGTATGGGGCTCGGAGGAGAATGTGCTGGGCCTGCCTTCAAGTTCGGGGTCAGGCAGCCGTGGGAGGCCTGGTGAGTCCCCAGCGTGTCAGCCCCGCCGTGGGCTGGTAGGTAAACACTGACACAGAGGGGCGCTCGGCGTCGAAGCTTGGCGATCCCGGCGGGAGGCGTCCAGTATGGACAGCACAGAAATGGGGTGCAGTCCACACCAAGCTACCCTCACTCCGCACCCCTTCCAGAGCTGCCTCCTGTTCAGACGGAGGGGCCCCGGCGCCCGTAGGCAAGGGAAGCTGCAGGGGCGCACGAGGCCACAAGGCTGGTCCTCGGGGCCTGTGTTCAGACGTCAGAATGACCCCACATCTAGTTCAGCCATCGAGTGACTCAGCCCCCAGTTGTGAAGATGAATGGAAGGGCCAAGTGAGCGATGGCCCCCAGGAGGGTGGCTGGTGGTGCGGCCGGCCCGTCCGGAGGCCCTCATCTGCATCTGCCCCAGGCCCCGCCTGCACACCGAGGTCCTGGGCCCCGGGGTCCCCTTGCGGGGTGCAGGTGGTAGGCTCTGCTGCAGCCAGCCTCCCCCACGAAGCTGGGACCCGCGCACAACGACGGGCCCTGGAGGCAACTGCACGGTCACGGCGTCGGCCTGCCGCTCGGTCAGCCACGGGCTCAGCCCGCGCTGACAGGTGCATCAGGTACGGAGCTAGGGTCTGGACTCTGCAGAGACGGGCGTCCGGTCGTCGGCCCGGGAGTCGGTCTGGCTGGGATGGCCCCACGCTCCAGGTGGGGCGAGGCTTCCGTGGGTGTCTTCCAGAGCGCGGGTCCCAGAAGGAGGGACGCGAGCGTAGACAGGCGGGCAGGAGTGCAGCACGGGGAGGTGGTGCCAAGAACTCAGGGCCGCAGCCTCGCCTGCAGAGTTTGGACCCAGTTCTAGGCACGGTGGAGGCTGGAGGAGCCAGAGCACGTGGGGGCACAGGAGGAGGGGTGGCCACGCGGCGGAGGGAAACGTGGGATTGCAGAGCCTGGCCAGGTGGGTGGCAACTGTGGGCGTGGGGGCGCCGGGAGGGAGCTCAGCGCGTGCGATCTGCCTGAGAGACCGAGTGTCGGGCCAGCTGCGCAGAGCCGGGTGTCCCGGGTGAGCCCCCCCACATGGAGCCACGCGGACGGCGTTCCAGGCCCCGTATCCACACGGCAGCGGGCGAAAGAGCGAGGTGAAGTGAGATGAGCCCGGGCAAGCGCAGGGCACCAGCGGGGCGCACAGCCAGGTCAACGAGGTCAACGGCAGAGCCTTGGGCTGAATTGCACTGCAGAGATGCGGGCCCGCCCGCCGCCTTGTGTCTCCGGGAAACGAAGCCGGCGGCCAACCAGCTACCCGTCAGGCTGGGAGGCCACTGACCCCAGCGCTCGGTTCAGAGACGGAGCCGAGGTGGCGGTCAGGTCGGCAGGAGGGCCTGCGCTGATCGGGGTCCCACAGTGGCCGCTCCTCCCTGTTGCCGCGGGTCCCTGGATGTGTCTCCTCGGGGCTGCCTTCGAAGGCGTGGACACGAAGCTCGCGGGCTCTGGAGGAAGCCTGGACCGCGGAGCCCTGAGTGGCTGCCGACAGCCTGCCTTGGCAGGAAAAGCGAGGTCTCTGGTGACCCTGCGGAGGGGAGTGGGCGAGAGGGCATCCCTGCAGGCCTGGGGGCGGGGGAAGCAGCGGCCGGGTGGTGACGTGGGCATGCCAGCTGGGCGTGCTTGAGAACCAGCGTGGAGGAGCCAAAGGCTCTTCTGCCTCCCCTGGTCCCAGGCCTGGGGTGTGGGCGGCGTGGGCGCCCCGTGTGCCCGGCGAGCCCCTTGGCAATCCGCTGCTGACCGGCAGAGCTGTGGTCCCGGACTCAGCTGG